GAGGAATATTCGGGCGGGAGCAGGGGTCCTGGCAACATTGTGAGGAAAACTCCGGCGGGATCCGTCGTTGTTGTAACCCGGGGGCCAAGAGCCCAGTTTGAGCCTCAAGGCTTCCCCCGGTAAAAAAAAAACAATGCGCGAACGTCGACGGGGCACGCTTCGACTGAGAAAAAACAGCATGCACCGGTGGGGGATCAACGATACTTAGCTGCAGAAATGTAAATTCAACCACGGCAATCATCTGACCATCATGCGCCATGCTTCCACATGTCACGCGCATCCTTCTGGGCACCACGCCCCGTCATGGGGGGTGTTTCTGGCATGCGGGGTCCGATATTGCCTCGCCCTGACTTCCCGCTCGGGAACATATCGCAACCGCCTCTTCCCATGAGCTTCGACACCCACAGCTCAGACGGCACGTCGCCATCGCAATCGCCTCGTGCACGCCCCACATCGCGGAGGAGGAGGAGGAAGAGGACGAGGGAAAAGGGGGGGAAGAGGGGGAGGAAGAGGGAAAGGGAAGAGGGAGACAGGGGGGGGAAGAGGAACAAATGGAGCGGAAGAGGGAGACAGGGGAGGGAAGATGAGGGAGAGGAAGAGGGAGGGGGGGAGGAGGATGGAGGACGAGGAGGAGGAGGAGGGGGAGGAAGGAGGGGTAGTTGTAGTGGCAGGACCTCCGAGGACGAGGTGGCTCTTACTCCTCGTTCGAACTGTTCCGCCGCCATCCTGCGGCCTCGGCGCGCGACCCTGAACGTCCACCACGCCCCCAGGCGCTGCCGCTCCCATACTCGCATCCTCCACCTGCCCCTGCACACCGTCTCAAGAAATCCCTGAAGTCAGTCCGCCGACCCTCGATTCTTGGAGTCCCTGGAAGTCATCCGTCCTCTGTTTTCTCCTCCTCCACATTATCTATGCTCTCCAAAAACGATAGCTATTGAAGGATTAAGGTTCAGCAGGTACTCTTGGAAGCCCCCCAGAGGCGATGCCGAAACGAGGGCCCCAGTCTTGAGAAAAAATGAAGGAGCATCAAGTGGGAACGACGAGGGAGAACGGAAGGGGAAGGGAGGAGGGAGGAGGGAGGCAGGAGGAGGGAGGAGACAAGGGGCACGAAAAGGGAAAGGAGGAGGGAGGAGGGGGGAGGAGGAGGGAGGAAAGAGGATCGCGAGAGGGAGGAGGGAGGAGGGGGATGAGGAGGGGGTGGAGGGAGGAAGAGGAACACACAGAGAGGGGGAAGGAGGGAGGAGGAGGAGGAGGAGGAAGAGGAGGAGAAGGAGGAGGAGGAGGAGCAGAAAGAGGAAAAGGAGCCACCCCCCCCTTTTTTTACTCGACGAGGGAACCCACGAGGCCTCTGAAGAGGGGTGACGTACACTCGGGCCGAGCTGTCGCAGGACCGTGTGGCCCTTGGAACTGGGGCGCTGCGGAGGCATGGGGCGATCGCTCACGCGCGTCAGACGCGCGGGCAGGCAGAAGCATGCTGCGGGTCTCATCTTCTCAGAGAGGGTAGCTGGGCTAATCTGATTGGGCGCCCAAAAACCGACGACACAATCTAGCAAGTCCTGACCTGCGACGCCCTCTGATCGGGCGCCCAGAAACCGACGACGCAATCTAGCAAGTCCTGACCCGCGACGCCCTCTGACTAGGCGTCCTCATCCCATGGCCATCGTTCTGATGACACGGATCGACCTCGGGGTTGTGGCGCTCGGGACTTGCTTCCTGGGATCACTCCCCCGCGAACAATGGCGATGGGCTGCCTTACTTCGTGAGAACCTCGAGCCACGTCGCCACTTCGTCCTCGAGCCATCCCGCGGGCATAACTCCTGTCGTCCTGGTCGCGATGCCCTCGGCCTGGAACGCCCAGGCGATCGTGCCCCTGAGTGGCCACTGTGGCGCGGCGAGGAACAATTTGACTTTGGTGTTGTCGTGGGGAGTCTCGAGCTTCACCGCGAGGACGTCTAGTTCGACCATCATCTTGTCTACTGTGGGGGGGCTCCCCCTGGTGGCTCGATCTGATCGAGATACTCGTTCAACTTCTTTTTGTTGGCCCCCCCCCTACGTCGCACTGCGTGAGAGTTTCGATCATCGTGACCGCCAGTGAGGCTGTGGGGCTGCCAGCCGCTCGCAATTTCTCGATCCCCTCCTCCCTGGCGGCCGCCACCGTCTTCCTGTACTGCTCTAGTGTGTCCTCCAGCGCCCTGGCGAGTGGATGATCCTTCGGCATGGTGAAGGTGTCTACTACGGTGGCCACGGTGAGCCTCTGCCGCTGCGCTGTCTGGAGCGTCAGCTTGGTGAGGCTGAGTAGGCACTCCTGCAAGTTGCTGTCCTTGCTCGTCCACTTCTTCTCAGTGTGGTTGCCCTTGCGGTGGCGGCGCCCGCCGCGATGACTCTTCTTGCTGCCGTCGTTCTTGCCGCCCTCTCCCTTGCCGCCCTTGTCCTTCTCGGCTGGGGCTGGCGCATCGATCATCGTCAGGTCGCCGTCCTTGTCGCCCGTGCGCCGCTGCTTGACGGCTGGATGGGAGGCGCTGCCAGAAGCGCCAGACGTCTGGGAGGACGCCTGGAGCCGCCACGCCGCCCTCGTTCGTCCTGTGCTCGGCGTGCCCTTCTTCTCCTCGGGGGTCGCTGCCGCCGCCGGCGCCGCCATGGTGCTGAGGTGGTCGTGGCGCCAGCAGCGGCGTGCTCGCTGCCGCGACCCGCGTAGGCCGTGGCCCCGCGGGCGGCGCCTCAGGATGTCCTGCTGCAGGTGGATCACGTCGCTGTTGTCGTGCAGGCCCTGCGCGCTCTCTCGCCGGCCGCCGCCTGCTCCGCGCCTCTGCCAGGCGTCGGAGCGCCCCCCGCAGCCGCGCCCTCGCCTCGAGGCTGCCCCTCGCGTCGTGCACCGGCGGCGGGGCGACCTGCGAAGGCCCGCAGGCGGCAGCGCCGCGAGCGCTGTGGGCTGGCTGGGGCTGTGCGAGTCTGAGCCGATAGCCTTCGGAGGTCACAGGAATGGGGGGTCGCCAGGTGCCTTCGAAGCTCCACTGGGTCGTCACAGTGAAGGTGGCACTCTGGCCGATCCGTGTCTGAGGCCAGCGGGCAAGTCGTTTCAGCAGGCGGTGTCCATTCATATCGGTGGCGAGTCATCTCGGGGATGCATCTTCCAGCTCGCCATGCTGTGCTCAGGTGCTGTCTCGTGTGGTCCACACAGCTAAATACGGTCTGGCAGTTAAGGCATCGGTTATCCTGGGTAATGACGGACAAGATCGGGGGGGTCCCGTGGCCAGGCAGCGTCGTCGCAAGGATCTGGTGCATGACAAGCTCACGATTGGGTGGCAAACCGTGCCCGACATCCCTCGATCCCGCATCGGAGCGGGGCGATCTCAGCTTCATCGATCTCTGTGTCGCCCACCTCCTCATCCTCAGGTAAACCCTCCTGAAAGTATCCTGGTGGAGCCCACTCCTGGGCCTGCATGCTGGTCCGCATCGCCCGAAAGTCGCAAAGCCTGAAAGCGTCGGTCACCTCGGGGTTCCATAAAACATTCTCCAGGGTCCGCGGCTCCCAGACCTCCTTGAACTCCTCCCCGATCGGGTGGGACAGGACCGCTTCCAAATCCTGGGAAAACTGGAGCGCCCAAGGGTGCACATTCGAGGACTGGTTGAGCTCCCCATTCGGCAGGACGGTGACATCGGAAACCTCATTGCCCTGTTCCCTAGCCCTTACCTCGAACATGCACTCGCCAAAAAAAATCTGAGGGAGGAGGGAGGAGGGAGAAGAGGAGGGGGTGGAGGAAGGAAGAGGGAGGAGGAGGAGTGAGGGGGGAGGAGGGAGGAGGAGGAGGAGGAGGAGGAGGAGGAGGATGATGAGGAGGAGGAGGAGGAGGAGGAGGAGGAGAAGAAGGAGGAGGACGACGAGGACGAGGAGGAGGGAGGAGAAGGAGGAGGAGGAGAAAAGAGCACCACCAGTCAAGCGTAAAACGGGAGGAAGTCTCGGGCGGGAGCGCTGGTTTTGTCGGGACGGGGGCTGTCGGCGGCGAGCATGCACCACCTCGAGAAAAAAAGGGAGGAAGTCTCGAGAGGGAGCGTTGTTGGTGCTGGGGGGCGGCGCCGATGAGAGAAAGAGTGGCGCGCCTGTCAAAGGTAAAACGAGAGGATGTCTCGAGCGGGACCGCTGGTTTTGTTCAGACGGCTGCGTTCGGCGGCGAGCAAGAGCACCGGCCCTGAGTAAAAAAGAGGAAGTCTCGAACGGGATCGTTGTTGTTGCTGTTGGGGGGCAGTTTTGGCGGTCCCCCAAACCGCTTGAGAGCGAGCCTCATTTTCAATGGAAATGCAGCCGGAGCATCGGCGAGAGCGCCAGGGCGCCTGTAAGAGGTCCAATAGCAATACTTGTTTTGTAAGTAAAACTCAACAGCAATAGCAACAACAACAAAAAAACAACAACGACGACAACAACAACATACAAAACAACAGCAACAACAACAGCAATAGCATCAACAACAACAACAGCAACAACAACAGCAACAGCAACAACAACAACAAGAACAGCAACACCATTAACAACAGCAACATCAACACCATTAACAAGAATAAGAACAACAGCAACAGCAACACCATTAACAACAACACCAACAACAACACCACCAACAACAACAACAGCAACAACAACTACAACAACAACAACTACTACTACTACTACTACTACTGTTACTGCTACTGCTACTACTGCTACTACTGCTACTACTGCTACTACTGCTACTACTGCTACTGCTACTACTACTACTACTACTACTACGACTACTACTACTACTGCTACTACTACTACTACTACTACTACTACTACTACTACTACTACTACTACTACTACGACACCAACACCAACACCAACACCACCACTACCAACAGCAACAACAACACCAACAACGACGACGACGACAACGACAACGACAAACAACAACAACAGCAACAACAGCAACAACATCAACAACAACAACAACAACAACAACAACAAACAACAACGCCGGGGGTCCAGGAGCCTCGGTGGCCGAGGCGCCCCCGGGAGGCCCGCGAGGCGCCCCCGGGCACGCCGCGGCCGCCATGCGCGGTCGCGCGCAGCCAGCCCGGGCCAGCCTCCTGGCGCCCACGCCGCGGCCCCCACGCCGAGGCCTCGCCCCTGCCCGGGCCTGCGGCTAGGAGGAGGGGGAGGAAGAGGAGGAGGCGGATAAGCGCTTGGCGGCCTGGCTAAGAAAAGGAGGAGGAGGAGGAAGCAGAAGGGG